TGGTGGACATAAATGTTGCCATTTATTGAATATTATTTTAATCTCATTTTGATCATAACAACCCTGTGACAATATTATTATTCCTAAGAGATGAACAGTCTGACTCAATGAGGTTGAGTAATTTACCCAATATCACAGTGTTATTTTGTGCAGCAACTAAGATTCAAAGCTAATGCTACTGTTCCTCCACTCCTGGGATATTTCCAATATGCAGCAACCCCTCTCCCAAGAAAAGCTAGGAAATCAAACTACTCACTTTGGCTCTTTTTATCAGACAGTTCTTGAAGCCAGCTTTCTTCTGTTTGTACTAACACTGGAATTCCTGGATATAAATTTTTATACAGATTTCTGAAATTTAGATAAAATGTTAGTTTTAAGTATAGTTACATGGGTAGTTAACCAGTCTACTAAACACAGTAATCTAATAATCAAATAACAAATACACATAGATGAACCTCATTCTATTTTCCTTGAAATGTTTTGTTCCAATCCTAACTTTTCAGTAAATTTAGACACAGGAAGTATATCAAGTCTGTACTTTGGAAAGTCTTCCTTTCTAAATCCTGGAGGTTTCTAATATCATATTGTTTTCTCAGGGGTTTCCTAGCACTGTATCTATAAATGTTGGTGGTAGTGGTATGTTTACCTGGATTTAAATTGGCACAAATTGTTCATTTTCAGTAGCTTCAAAATAATCCAAACTCTTTTTAAAGGGGTGATGATAAATTAAATGCATTATATTTAAACAATATGTAGTTTTTGAGGACTTTAATCAGTTATCTGAGTTATCACTGACATGATAGGAAGGCAAGAATTTGACTTTTACTAGTTTAAATAGCTCTTGTTGGTAATGAGTAACCAATACTGCTTTTCAACAATTGCATCTTTTACATTTATCAAATAATATTTTTTCAAACAATTAGTCAATTTCATTATTGTCACTTTGTCAGTCCTTTTGTGTCTCTATCCAGTGCCTTCTCTTCTGCTGCTTTGTTGCATGGCACATTGCATCAGTGAAGTGTTTTGTTTTTCAATCCTGAAATGACTGTGTCCTGTAATAGGCAAAGGACTCTGCAGAAGCCACCTGTGTGTCTCCCTGAGGAAGTCTTGTTTATCTAAGCTTGCAGAGAAACAAGTTATAGGGATTGTGAGTAAAGCAACATTAAAGAGAATCCCCAGACAACAACTAATGTGTGTGTTTTCCAGTTCAATGGTTAAAAAAAACTAATACGTCATTCCTTATTTATTTTGCTTTTCTTAACCTAACATCAAAGAACGTTTCTGGAATTCTGTAGAAAAATGGTAGACAGAGGGAGGTGCTAAAAAAATTACCATTGCTGAGAATGCATAATGTACTCGTGGGGAGTTGCTTTTACTCATGGTTGGTCCACCTCTCTTTAGAAAAGCCAAGCAAAGCGGGTATTCATATTTTGTTTTTGCATGCAAAGAAACTCAGGCTCATGGAGATGAGGGAACTTCTATATCACCACTAGAGTCTTCTCCCTGGCTTTAAAACCTTTACCTCCACTTTCATCTACCTTCTAAAATTTGTCCCGTTTTCAATCAGAATAATAATAAGGTCATTAAATACAGAAGTTGAGCCAACACTAGTTGCATTTTTAGGACATGTTCCCTTAAAAAACATTCATAATTTCATCAAATTTACCACGGCGTACTTTGAGATATCTATATCTATATGAAGTGTCCTCTTCCTAACTGCAGAAACCGTTCAGTGACCCAGCTTAACCGCTTCCTGAGCAGACGCTGCACAGCGGGTCGGTTCAGACACCGTCCGCCCACAGCACAGGGACCTGCACAGACCTCCCTTGCAAACCCTCAGGCACTCAGCTGCGCAGGGTTGCACTGTACTAGCAGTCACTCACTTAGACACATAATTAACCAAGGATTGCCAGGTGATTGAGGATAACAATAGCACAAAAGAGAACAGAGCAAGATAAATGGAACGAACACGGACCCCAAAGAAATAACAAGGAATAAATAGAATGAAGGAGAACTTTGATATAATAGTGCTATCAACAAGATTAAAAAACAACAAAATATTTTAAATAGAAACAATCATGGATCTAATGACTATTTTTTAAATCCCCCCCCCAAAAAATTCTGTGCAAGGACTATATGGTGATATGAACACATCAAAAAACTGGAAGACACTGACCATGTGAAGGAAAAGATATGAAAGATGAGTCTATTCCAGAGGCCCAGCAGTCTCTAGCAGGCAATGTGAAGGGAGGATGATAAAAAATAGGAGAAGGAGTAATCAAGTATCAGCAGGGTTTGCAAATCAGACTGATCGGCAATACTGGGTACTAGCGGGCAATGAAGCATTATTTTCAAAGCTCTGAGGGAAAATGACTTTAAACTCATCCTTTTATGCTAGACTATCAATAATAATACAGAGGCAAAATGAAGAAATTCCCAGGCAGACAAGCAATCAGAAATTTGACTAACTACAAGAGATACTTACACGTAAAAAAGAAAAAAAATCACTTGAATCTCTCCAGCAAAGGGAAAAGGAATACAAGTGAGAATCAAGGAAACATGGCCTTTGAGTTTAGTTCAGAAAAAATGAAGACAATGGAAAATAACTGAGTTCAAAATTTCACTTTTTAGAAGATAACTTTTATGGAAATGGAATTATTTTCTTATCCCTGGATCTAATCACAATGGGTTTCTTCAGACGAAATTATAGGTATCGTTTACTAGTTTTCAATTTTTTAACTCAGTGTGCACCTGAAGGTTAATTATAATCAATAAAACAATACAAACAATAAAACTTTGCAAAGCAGTAATTCATATGAATGTATATTTTAATATAACTTGTTCTATATAATTTATTGTTAGAATACAGGTTAGAGAAGTGGAAAGAAGTGGATTAATTTGTTTATTTGTTTGTTTTTTGGTACCTGGGATTGAACTCGGGTCCTTGCGCTTGCAAGGCAGGCCGCCGAACCGCTGAGCTAAATCCCCGGCCGGATTGATTTGTTTAAAAAAAATTTTTTTTTGAGACACGATCTCACTATGTAGTTGAGACTGACCTAGAACTCAGTATGTAGCCAAGGCTGGTCTCAAACTCACAGCAATCTGCCTGCCTCAGCCTCCCAAATCCTGGGACTACAGGCGTGTGCCACCACACCTAGCTGTTAATGTTTTATAGTAGAATCCAATGTATACTTTCTAAAATTGATAAATCAAGAAAAAAAAAGCGTTTAAATACTTTAAAATCTTAAATGCTGGAAAAACTAAAAATAATACAACTACCAAAAAGCGGAGAGGTAAGAAGTCAATAGTTATGTCAGAAGTCAATAAATCAAGGAATGAAAATGTGATTTAAAATTAAACGGAAACAAAATCAAAACTGTTAACACTCTGTTAACTCCGGAAAAAGTGAATTTCTCAATTTTGTATCTTTGTATATTTTAATTTAACCATACATATATTATCTTTTACTAAATAGTTGAATTAAAAGGAAAAGGAAAAACATGTAAATGGGAGAGAACAACTTCCCTCACACTTAAGAATGTACAAGATTGTGGACTTAAATTTGGTGTGATATTTCAGGGAAGTTTTATGAAGATGTTCCAAAGCTGTTTCTGGTACGTTTCCATCTTAACTAAATCATTTTAATAGCAATGGAAATGTCACAATTTCCACTTCTCTCCACCGAAGGTGTCCCTAGTCACTGTTGCGTTCAGCTATGGGAGACCTCCGTCCCAAATTCCATAGTACTTACTATCATACACACAGCAGTACTCATTTCCAGATACACTGAGAAGAGGACGTACGCTTATCTCTACAGCTAGGTAATACATAAGCAGGAGATAGACTTATCTCTTCCAAAGTGTCTGCCAGTGGAGATTAAACAACTCTGTGAATAAATTGGAAGTGTCCTGGATTATCTGGCTCTACTTCCTAACATGTATATCCTAAAATTAAATGTTATTTGCTTAAAAAAATATACAGGAAAGTTGAGAGTATTTTCTTACCTATCTATTTTCACTTCAGACATGTCTTTTCTAAAAGTATGAAATATTTTAGGCAAACCTGTTAAATGAAACATTTAAAACTTTAGTCACTTCCTCTAAATCAGTGGTCCTCAAAAGGGCAATTTTGTCCCCTGGGGAACACGAGGCAATGTCTGGAGACATTTTTGATCATCTTGTGTGTGCGTGTGTGTGGCCAGGGATCCTACTAAACAACCTATGATGCACGGGACAGCGCGCTCCCACCCCAATCAAAGAATTATCCAGCTCTAAATGTCAACTTTGGGAGTTTCAGAGACCAACTGTAAATCACCGCTGTGCCACTCTTTCGTAAGTGACTGGAGTGATTCCACTCCTGGAAATCAAACACACACAAAAAGAGCTGGGCTTTTTCTTCGGGACGGTTCCAGTAACACAGCACCCTTAAGCGCTGCGCCTGCAGGTGTAACGGGAGCACTGCAGACAGTACCGCCTTCGTTTCACCTTCTACGAGGCGATTCATCTACATCCTAGATTTTGAACTGGCGCACAGCCCGGCTCAAACGCCAGAGGAGACGGAGACGGCTGGGTGCGTGTGGAGCGCAGCGGGCCTGCGGCGGCTGGGGGGCCGGGGCCTGGGAGCGG